TTCTTTCTGGGGATGATGGGCATGCCAGACTGATCATGTCATAGTTGCACAAAATGGAGAGTACAGTACAAACCAATGAGTTGTCTACTTTGATGTGTGAATTAGTTATGAAGTTGTCACAGATAGAGCAAGGGTGATTGTCTTGGGGAGATGGAAGTATCAGTGGTTTCCTGTTTTTTTAAGAGGTTCTGGGATTGTTCTATATCACTCCTATGATAGAGACGTTCACTAAGCTAAAATACTAAAAGTCTAAATCAGTGGCTCTCAACCTTCCCAATGACGTGACTCTTGAATACAGTTCTTCGTCTTGTGATGACCTTCAACTATAAAATTAATTTCGCTGCTACTTTGTAACTATAATTTTGCTATTGTTAGGAGTTGTAATGTAAATGTCTGGTTTTTGTTTTTGTTTTTGTTTTTTCTGATGGTAGTAGACAACCCCTGGAACCCTAAAGGGGTTGTGACCCACGGCCACTGAGAACCCTGAGAACCCTTTGGACTTTAAAGGGAGAATTTAAATAGCCAGCCTTTTACCAGAAACAGCAGAGATTGAGTCTGCTAATCCTACCTTTAGGTGTGTGTGTGTGTGTGTGTGTGTGTGTGTGTGTGTTTGCGCGCGCGCGCACGCGTGCATGCATGCGTGTCTCCTGTAATCCTAAAACCTGGGCCCATGCTCTCATGTTGTCATGGATATGAATAGCCATTTCTGGCAAAAGTTATCTCATTTGTCCAGGGACCCTTGGAGGCAGGATCCTGTCTCTGGGAAAATCAGGAAAGCCTGAACTCTTCCTTGTGCGATGTTCTAAGAGGCAGTGGGCTCTGTGAGTGTGGAATCAGTGGGGGTTGTTACTTATATAACTTCCTGTAATTGCCTGGCAGTAGCTGCAGAGAGCCGCCCGCCCTCTCCTGTCTGGGGCTGAGCAGAGGCCGCAACCCATCCCTTCTTGCTGCTGCTGCTGCTATTGCTGCTGCTCTGTTTGTCTCTTCATCGGGCTTTGTGTGGAGTCAGCCCTTCTTGGCAGAACTGAAATGTCATTTTAACCAGAAGACTCCATCCTCTCTGTGCTCTGGAAATGGGCAATTCCTATGCTGGACAGCTAAAGAGCACGCGGTTTGAAGAAGTCCTCCACAACTCCATCGAGGCTTCCTTACGCTCCAACACCCTGGTGCCCCAGCCCATCTTCTCCCAGCTGTATCTGGAGGCTGAGCAGCAGTTGTCATCGTTAGAAGGTAAGGACCACACATTTCTTATGTCTTTGTACGTGCCGTTTTTATTATGTGCGGCTAACGTGAATGGCCCTATTCAGAAAAATCTAGAGTCTAGTAAAAAAGACTGAAAGTTGCACGCAGATTTTTATTTGTTTAAAAGTAAGTTTCAGGCCAAAGAAATACAAAGAAAAAATCTTGGACTCATAAGAGACAGGGAGAACACTGTATGCTAGGCTCCCTTGGAAGCATTACTTATACCTGATGAGATGGTTTGTTGGTAAGGGATTTTAATACATCGGACCTTCAGCTCTGTATTTCCTTGCTTTTCCTCCTGTGATTCATGTTCTTATATTTGTAAAAAAATCATTTAGAGGTTATGTCTTTGTGTGGTAACAGGTGTAAGAGCCTTACAAAAGCTTAAAAGAAATTAACAGTAAGCCTTTATGAATTTTACATGTACCAAGACTTAAATTAATAAATGATCTGTAAGTATGGCGAGGACTTGAGAAGTTCCCTTATCTGGAAGGTAAACTGTGTGTGTGTTTTCAGGTCAAGTAAATAAGCTTGAGGCAATCCATAGGATGAAACAGCTACTAGTCTAGGATTATTTATTTATTTATTTATTTATAAGTTCATGCTTTTTGCTTGAAATTACACACAAATGTAAGAAGTTTTTGAAGTAGAAAAGGTTATGGTTTTAAAGTGAAAAAAAATCATTAAACAAAAAAGAAAAATGTCTGTCAGATTTGTACTATGTTGGGCTTTAGGGTGCTGTGTGTGGCTTGCCTGTCTTGAAGCAACTCTGTGCCGAGCAAGCTCATGGATACCAGAAAGCCCTGACTTTTGTGAGAGGACAAAGTGAGCCTCCTTGCAAATGGCACAGATAAAGACCTAAGACCCCAGACTTGGGTCTAAGAGAAACTAGATTGCACCCAGCACTATCAGTTAGGACAACAAGGAATTCTCTGATAGTCATTAAGAGAGTGCCAGTGTTTTCTGTCATAGGAAGTGTCTCTGTGACTTCACAGGGAGTAGAGAAATCCTTAGATACTATTTAATTGATCTCATTTTTGAGCAGGTGAAAGGCTTCTATGAAATACAGTTTCCAGGGACATCCTTAACTACTTAGTGTGTTGACAAACCTTGCTAGTGTCAAATTGAGAACAGCAATTATGTTGGTAATTTAGAATACTTAAGCAGTGTCCTAAAATCTATAGTCTGTTCACCTGCTATTGCTGAGGCCCAAGGTGACTTGGAGATTTTGAGGGGTCGCAGAATTGCTGGCTGCTCAGCTCAGGCTGTCAGTGTTGGGACAAACATCTGGAGAGTCAATGCACGGCTGCTCACTGGGGAACAGAGACCAGAAGAAAGCCCATAGGGGATCCCCGTCACCTTCTCTTGCAGCTGAAGATCTCCCTAGGTGGCCCAGATGGCCCCCTCTAGTTATGTGGAGGTGGCATCTTCTTAGGATCTCTTCTTTGTTCAGAGTGTGGTATTTTCCAGTGATCTGCCCTGCCCCGGGCCCTGACTCTGCTAGAACCCAGGAGTTCCTACTTGCTTATGAATGCTCTGCCTCTCAGCTTCATCCCAGCCCCCAGGGACAGTGTTGAGGCTTATGAATTTGATTACTTGGGTGCTGAGTGTCCCAAGCTCCTTGCCAGATGTCAACTGGATTGCTCAGCCTTTGAGTTTGGGTGATGACTTGGCCCAGCCCCTCTGTGCTTTTCCTTTCTGCTCAGTAAATAGCCTGGAACCATCCTCTGGGATTTTGTTTGTCCAGTTGCAAAAGTCAGCCTGAGGTTTTGGTGGAGGATGGCGACCTTTGGGTTTGTTAGATGCCACCATAAACCAAACACTAAGCTTGGGCCATATCTTCTGCATCATAAACTTTGGAGCAGACAGACAGTTTTTGGGCCCCATCTTGTTTTGTCTGTCTGTCTCTTGTCAGGGTCTCTTATCTGATGGCTGGCCTTCCTCAGACAATACTGTTGTTGATGATGCTTATAACCAAGGTGCCGGGACACTAAACACCCGGGGATCTGGTAACATTTTATGTATTTGTGGGGGTAATTTAACAGGGGTCTTGTTATAGCTTTGTTCTTTGAATTAGGGCTCTTACCTACTACCCCCTTTTAGGGGGAAATCCTTTTACACAATATTGACTTTTCAAGAGAAAGCCCCACAAAACAACAAATAACTGCATCAGCTCTAGGCATCACAAATTTACTATTTGAAAGGAATGCAGGCCAGTTCCTATAACCCCACCTGCTCAGAATGATGAGCACCTCATGACAGGAAAAGAGATTGAGCGTAAACACCAGAGTAAATGGCCTCATGTGCCCATAGTCAGGGCGCTGTGGGGTCCTTGGATTTGTGTTTTATTATTACTGCACTAAGCCCTGATCGTTCCGTCTAAGACCACTTTAAAGCTCTTGCCCTGCCAGGAGACCTCCGTAAATATGTCTGTTTAGTCTGCTCCAGGCTTGTGTTGCCTGAGGAGCCCATCAAAGTCTGGAAAGTCTGCCACAGACCTTTGACCCTGCCTGCAGTTTGAGCCCTTTGGCTCTCTGAGGCTTAAGACCCTCGTCCCTTGTTTCTTTCTAAGTGTGTTGGAATGCCTGTTCATTGGGCTTAGCAGAATAATGCACAGCCTCTTCTCTGTGGCTGATCCATGTCTCTGGCTTTGGGGGTGCTCATTTTGGTTCTTGGGGAATCTTGTGTGAATTTCCACTCTAAGGCTGGTATCTGTGTCAGAGATAGATCAGACTCCCATGTGACCTGTGCCATCTGCTGTCATGCTGGATGCTGGTGTCTGGAGTCTGGTGGGACTCTGAGACCTGGTGCAGGGGCTAAACTGTGCCTACTTTAAGCACAGGAAGATGTGGAGGAGATGCAGTCTGCTTGCTGACACCCTACTATCCACTATGCAACTGGACCAGGAGCTGACTCTTATCTCTGAGCCATCAGAAGCTCACACATGGTTACAGTCACAGCCCGCTGGGCATGCTTGGTGACACCATGAGGCCCCCATGTACATAGCTTGTGACCTGGCTAGCTGGTCTCTTCAGTGTCCTTGACCTTGTAGTTCCTGTGTCTTGCTCAGTATTTTTTTTTCCGTGCTCAGGCTTAGAATTCCTTCTCAGGAACTCTGGACATTTCTCAAGGTTGTAGTTTTGAGTGCCAGTCAGGTTGTGTGTGTCTCAAGGTTTCTAGGTTGGAAGCTAACAGATACATAGAAGGGTTAGTTATTATTGATTAATTGGTTAATTATGCCCCTCTTTCTGACCTCCTTGATAATGTTGTCACATGGTGCTCTCAGTCAGCACATACCCGCTTACATCTCAACATGTTAACAGTCACGCCAGCATGGCCCTTTGGAAGAGAGCTACGAGTATACATTTCCTTGTTGCTAAGCAGATTCCAGGACTCAGAGCAAGATGAGTGTGTGGGTCTGGGAAAGTGCCAGCTTCCTGAGAGTCAGGGAGCTGAGTACTAGGAGGTGGCCGGACAGGTGTAGGGGATTTGTAGAAGAGACCGAGACTGGGCAGAATAGGGGTAGTCGGAGTGGATGAGTTAAGAGGCACCTTGTCTTGGTGAGAAGATGAAGCTGGAGATGGATGCTTGAATCCACAGCCTTGGGTGCCTGTGGACCTGGGGTTGGGGTTACATGCCATTCTGTGTGTGTCTGATTCAAAGGATTTCACAAGAAAGTTTTGTTTTCCATAGTGACTGGCAGTGGGTCGGTGAAGCTGGGTGCCCTGCGCATTTGACAGTGAATGACACAATGTGCCTGACCCTGTGTGCGCATTAGCCTCTCCCGAGTCCCACACAGCATTGTCTGTGTTGTGATGTTACCTGTTCACACTGGTACAGCATGAGTAGGATTTTGATAGTCGATTCATCCTCTACCTATCCCTGACAGGCTATTTTTTTTCCTGCTTCTAAGGCCTTTTATAGAATATTAAACTGTTCATGATGTGCTGATTGGAGATTTTGTGCAATATGGAGTCTTCTCTGGGGCAATGGTTTTAACTTTTTTTATCTCACCTACTGGGCTTCTTTTGAATATTAGCCAGAGTCCCCAGGGACAGCCTGTTTAAGAGCAATGCTTATGTAGAGACATGTGGCTTTTATGGCCTCAACGCAAAATGACCTCTGGAGACCATCAAACAGAGAGCGTGATAAAGTAAGTAAACCTGGCTCTGCCCCAGGCCAGGGCCTCCCTTGACCCAGGACCTTGGACTCACAGGAATCAGACCAGCTACTGACAGAGCAAGGTTGTTTCAGGATGGCTTACACAGGAGCAGTAGGTGAATGGAGAGGCTGAATCATCATGTGTCTCTTGTATTAACCGGTGCCCGTGGCTGGCTCTGTTGGAATGGCTTTGTGCTTTGTAGAGATCCTTTTAAACACATGCTCTGCACGTTTGTAGCTCACACAAGGAGGCTTCTCATCACTACCCAGATGGTTTGTCTAGGGCCGCAAGCCGGCAGAGGCCTGTCTATCACGGTAGGAAGATTGCCTGCCCTGACACAACCATGGCAGTGTCTCGACTCTGCTGGTTGCTGAACTTTGGTTTTCACTCCCAGACTCCCCACCATGCGTTTGGTATTTCTTAGCATGTAAAATAATGGGTTGTACTGTGATATTTTCATGCATGTATATTATTGTAGTTTGCTCATATTTGCCCACAGCTACCCTTCCTGGCCCCTCCTCCTATCCCCTCACTGGCTCTTGTCCTCCTTTCCATGTTACCCCTTTATTATAGATCTAAGCAATATATATTATGTATATCAGTATGCATCATGTATGTGATGCATATAAAAATATCCTGATTCTGCATATCAGAAAATATATAATATTTTGTCTTTCTTCCCTGTTATCCTCTTTTTCCTCTTTCTCTAGCTTTTAAATAAATGTGTGTGTGTATGTATAGCCACCCATATACATAAATACATACATACATATATGTTTAAAATATAGATTCTGCATATGAGAGAAAAGCATGTTTGTCTTTTTGAGTCTGGTTTATTTCACTTAACATGATGACCTCCAGTTCCATTCATCCCCCCCCCAGATGATACAATTGTGTTCTTCATTGTGGCTGAATAAAATTCCATTCTGTATGTAGACTACATTTTCTTCATCCATTCACATACATGGAACTTTCAGTATGCCCCCAAGAGGGTGAAATCTCTCATGCTTGCCCAGACTCACTTCTCTGGCCCAGTCTCTTAGGACCTGTTGACTTAAGGGTGTCTTGAGTCCCCGCCCTGATTCCCATGACAGGTCCTCTGCCTATGGCACCCTCTGGGTGATGGTATGTATGCAAGTTGTTTGAAGAAGAGGCCGGAAGGGAGTCGAAAGGGAGGTGGAGAGGCTCATGGTTTGCTTCCTTCTGCCCAGGTTTCTCTGGGAACTGTGTTGGCTGTGGGAAGAAAGGCTTTTGCTACTTCACCGAGTTCTCCAACCACATCAACCTGAAGCTGACCACACAGCCCAAGAAGCAGAAGCACCTCAAGTACTATCTGGTTCGAAACGCACAAGGGGCACTCACCAAAGGACCTTTGATTTGCTGGAAAGGCTCCGGTGAGGGAGGGGCTTGAATCCGGAGGGGCAGGGGTAGGGAGCTGGGTATGCACTCCCAGTGGGCATTGTGGGGCTGGGGGTGGGACCTCTGTACAGTGGTACAGGCTGTAGCAGGAGCATGGCACTGAAGATGCTCCTTGGAGTCAATGGTACTTGGACAGCTTATGTGACAGGCTCACTGGGCTGGGTAAACACTAGCTGAGAGCCATCTGGTACTGAGGCTCTATTTGGTGAATGTTAGGAACATTTCTTGTTCCCAAGGGACATTTATCACCGCCTGGGGACGCTCCTGATCATAAAGACTAGAGGCTGGTGCAGACACTTCCAATACTGCTAAATACCCGACAGTGTGTAAGATAGCCCCCAGCAAGAGGCTTCTGTCCTCAAAGTGTCACCGGGAGGAGGCTGAGAAAGCTGAGCTTGAACAATGCCATGCCCTCTGCATCCCTGAACCCTCTTCCCTGTGACCAAAGAGAGAGCTCTGTGGTGCTAGTCACCAGGGGTGAGTTCGGCTTTACCAGGAAAGGCTGCACCGTGGCCCCTTAGTCTCCCTTGTATCCACTGTGTCAGCTGAGGAAGAGCAAGGTCATTGGCTGCCCTGAGTCCTGCCCTGGGTGATGGAGTATGCCTAAGAAAGAACTTCCCAGAAGTAGTCAGGAGAGCGGTCCTTTTGTCCCCTACTTTTCTGAATATCCAGGAATCAACCCTACTAGTTCTTTGAGTGGAAGGAAGAGGTCTTGGGTATGAGTGACTGAGTGCAGTTCATCTTTTCCTCTTTCCCCACATTTTCTCTTCCTCTACTTTATTCTATGACTGCTTAATAAGTTCCCAGTTTGTATCAATCAGTTCCCAGGCCCCATGGATGAAGCTGGTTTCCCTCATGGGTCTAGTTCTCTATCTTGTTCTCAGGTCAGAGCTGTTGCTGGGGGGCAGAATTTATGAAAGAGGATGTGTAGGGGTGGAGGGGGGTGCTGACTGGTCCAGCCCTGGGGCATTACTCTGTGTCTCCTTGGATGTTAAGCACAGAGCTGAGATAGCTCAGTTTCATAAGTTGTATTTCTTTTTCCTCCCATTGGGCACTCTTATTCTCTCTGTTAATAGAGCCACCCTTAGGCAGAGAACTGGTTATGGAACATGGCACCTCTGCCCTGCAACACACGGAAGCAGAGACTAGCATGGCGCCGGCATCCTTTATAAATACTCTTGTGCCTCTCTCCCATAGTCAGTTTTGCTCGCTCCAGGAAGTCATTCTGCAGCCGTTGGAGAAGAGCCAATTAGATTTCACATGTACTTCTTGTTTCCCTTAGAGTTCAAAAGTCGGCAGAACTCCACCAACACCTGCTCCAGTTCTCTCTTCCCACCACTGGAGGGCTCGGGGTCCCTGGCTGCCTTCCCCACTGAGCCTGTTCCTGGGACAAACCCCAGTGTCCCAGTGGGAGCTCAACAGGCAGGTGAGACCTCAGAGTGGTGTCCCAGGTGCTAAAAGCCACACACCTGGTGTTGGCATTCTTCAAAATAAATAAAGGACACACTGTGTGTTGTCTCATTTTATGTCATTTTGAGTTTGTAAGTTTCACCTTGCATGTTGTTGTTCTGTGTCATTTCGAATCTGTAAGTTTAAGCAAAGTGTCCATGTTGGAAAAGCTTCCCTGCTCTTCTTCTTGATAAGGAGTGTGATTCCCCCGTGGTGGGATCCCATATCAGAGTTCATTTGCATGCTTAGGTCATGAATGACAAGCACCAAGCCAGCATTTCAAGTGGATTTCTAGCAGGGCCTGAGTTTAGATCCGATCATTTACCCCATGATGTGTGTGCCTACTCTGTGCACGCACCTCACTAAGGCTCACCATGTCCTGTGGAATGTTTGGAAAATGGAGGCTCGTGAAGGCTGAGGCTTGCCCAGGACCTCACAGGGATTGGGGTGGGGGGGAAGGATGCAAGTTTGCACCAAACAGAAGATGGCCATAAGTAAGCATAGTTACTGCTACCTAGAGATAGCAACCTTCCTGAGGACTCAAAGGCCACTGGTGGTTTTCATTCCTTCTTCCCAGAAAGTTGGTGTGGTATATTGCTCAGGGAGTGAAGCCAGTGTCCTGGGCTCTGCATTACCACCCAGCCATCCCTGTGGCTGGAACATGCTGTCCTTCCGAGACTCTAGGCTCCCTTCCCTGGCTGGCCTCTGGCATCTTCCTCCAGTGTCTAGGCCCTTCACTCCCTTTTCCACTGTGGACTGGGGAGCCTGCTGTTTCCGTGTCTAAGTACCTAGTGTAGAGGCCAGAGCCATCATCCATGCTGAGTGGTTGTGCACTTCACTTAATTCTGGGAACTTAACTCTTTCCCCTATGTAAACCTGGGGGTCCTTTCCGATCCAGCTCACAGGGTGAGCCAAATGGGATTATAGCGACAGCAGCCCCCAATGGTGCTTGTTCTGAGCCAGCTCTGTTTCATGTACTGGATGTCTACCCACCTGAATCCTTCACACAGTGACTCTGCCAGCTGGTACCCTGACCTATTCTATGGAGGCAACACTGAAATTTGAAGAGATTCAGTTAGTGTCCCAGGTCACACAGCTCATAAGTAGTGGGACTGTGGTTTGGACACAAGGTAGTCAGCCCCAGAACCACATTCTAACTGTCACAGGGCACTGCCCCTAAGTGTTGCTTCTACTTGAAAGCTTTTCAGACAATTTCAGGGGCCTCCTTAAGACCAGAATCCGTGGTTGTCCCCAGAATTATTCTCAAGACTTAGGGAACCTGAACCCTCTAAGTAGCCCGGACGCTGTCAGTAACCCACCTGCCAGCCTTCCTTGATTTGATTTTTTTTTTTTTTGAGACAGGGTTTCTCTGTATAGTCCTGTCTATCCCGGAACTCACTTTGTAGACCAGGCTGTCCTCAAACTCAGAGATCTGCTTGTCTCTGCTTTCCAAATGCTGGGATTAAAGGTGTGTGCCACCACCAATTGGCAAGAGAAAACATGAAACCTGGCTGTATTTTGATATAAACTGAATTTCAGAGGAGAAGAAGGTAGAAGCAAACAGAAGCATCCATCTCAGATGTGGGGCTGTGAGTTAGGAAGCCCAGACACACACGCACCCCAGGTCCTACCTTCATCCACACTAGATCCACTGGGGTGAAAGCAAAGGTTCATGGCATCTGTATGCTCATGTTTGTAAGTTTGTTTCTGCTTATCTGTTCATGTGTGAGCAGGAACATGTATTTATTTCTAAGTATGCATACATGTATTTGTGTATATTGATTCCTTGTAGATTTGTGTGTTTATTAAGTATGTTTCTGTACACTTGAGTGTATAAGCAGGAGAACGTGCGTATGCTCCTATATGCATACCTGTGCATGTCTGTGAAATCAGAAATGTGTTTGCATTCATACGTACACATGTATGTCCACATGGGTAAGAATGTGCACACAGGTATGCATGTGTATCTCTATGCACACATGCATGTGTATGTATGTGGGTTTATGAGTGTGTAAGCAAATGTGCACATGTGAATGCATGTGTGTATCTGCGTGTGTGTATGTGTTTATGTGGCAGAATCACTATGTCAGGAACCCTACTTTCCTGATGGGACTCACCAGCACAGACTTAGTATGTTTGCCTGTCTGTGCATGTGTATGTGTGGTCTGATCCCCTTTCCATCCTTTCTGCTTTCAGGACCAGCCTCTGATCACCTCTCAGTGACCACAGCTACAGGTCCTGCTGTCTTCAATGGCAAGGATTCTCCCAAGCACCCACAGCTGGTGAAGAGTAGCCTGTCTGCCCTGCCACGCCCCTCAGCCTTAGGTAGTGCTGTTGACCCTGGGGGGTGCTGGGGCCCTTCTTTTCTCTAGACCTGGGCCAGCGGGAGCAGGGGAGCTATGGGACTGGAGACATGGAGCCTCCAGAGTCTAATGTTGCATTAGTGAGCATCGGGATTGGTGTCACATGTCCTCCGGTCTGTGCCTGGGCCAGTGCTGTGTGAGTCATATATGGGAGGCATCCTGTGTGCTGAGGGGCAGTGAGGGGCTCTGTGCTGATGGCAGCTGACCTCTTGAAGTAGGTGTCAGGAAGACTGGGAGTGTTGATGTCAGAACAGATAAGAGTGAACTCAGAGCCCAGTTGTTTTGTAAGCCACAAGACCTTGTAGCCTCTTCAGCAGTCCATCCTTGGGAGTTAGTATGCCACCCTGAGGGACAGTAAGAGGCTCTCCAGATGCTGCGTGGAATCACTGCACATCTGGGAGATCATTGAATGATACTGGCAATGGTTGTCAGCATCAGCCCACCACTGATACTTGTCCAGTTAATCCCTGGGGAAGGAGCTAACTGAGTTCCAGAGTCCTGTGGGAGGAAGGAGACAAAGACACCTGAGGACTGCCTTCAGACTCCTCACAGTGCACGCCCACCATTGCTGTTCCTAAGAACACAGCTTAGGGGCAAGACTTCTTCTCCACTTTCAAGCCTTCCGACAGCAAGTCTTCTCTGCTCCCCTTCCCTTCTTGCTTTGTTTCTTCCCCTCCTCTGACCTTTCGAACACGGCTGAGCTGGAGCTTAGGGCCTGAGACACTACACTGGAAAGCCCTTTGAAAGTGTTCATCTTGGGGATGGGTTTGCAGCTCATGGGTACAGTGTAGTGCCTGGGTTTTATTTTTATCATCAAGGAAGAGACAGAGGTCCAGAGAAGCACCTTGTGCTGGAATAGTTGTGCCCAAAGGCTTCTCTGGTCAAAATCTGTAGTTTGTGTAACCATTTGCTGACGGAAGCAATCCTTCTGCTCCGCATGGATCCAAGACTTTCCAGTCTTAACTAGCTTCCACATTCCTGGAGCCTTTATCATTCTCTACCCTACTCTCAAGACTCCCACCTTCCTCCAGGGGCTGATGCAGCAGCCACATTACCGAAGACCAGTCCTTGGTCATAAGGACAGGAGGTCCCTTGCTGTCCATGGCTTTTCTCCTGAGCTTAGCTAGAAGACACTTATTCCTGATGTCACACAACTCATACCTCAGATGGTGTACTAGCTCCGCTCAGCCTGGGCCTGGACCTTTGCCTTGGGCAGTAGCCTACAGAGGCTCCTTCAGGACTGGATTTGAACTTTCCAAGTCTACCTTGTGGAGTTGTGTGGGGAATGGAGATCTTTAAATTCCAGCCTGCTGGAGCCTTAAAGGTCTTCTGGAATCAGCCCGTCGAACCTTATTCTCTGCCTTCAATTGTTCATGGTCTTGGTGGCCCCAACATGATGTCCACACTCTGCCCCGTCTCTCAGTGCTCACCCCACCTCTGTTAGATGGCCTTCTAGAGCCCAGCTCAGGGCCATAGTCTCCTCTCTCACAAAAGAGTTCTTGGAGTCCCAGCAACCTACTGTAATCTTTGACTTTTGAAGGCACCTTGGAGTCCCCAGCTGAGAGAAGGACTAAGTGAGAGACACTGGCTGACCTGGGTTATAGAGTTGAGTACAGGCATATATATCAGAGCTACCATGCCTTCTCTGTCCTTGCGGGGAGGAGAGCACTCAAAAGCAGTGTATAGGAAACGTCTTCCAACTGACACTCGCTGCTCTCAGTGAAATGCTGCTCCCTGGTGGACGATATGAATTAGATGCCATGTCTCAGATGAGGGCCAGTGCTCCCAAGTAGGGGGGACAGGAAGCTAAAAGTCCCGAACTTCCTCCTTAGAAATGCCAGAAGGGATCCCCTCAACCAGAAATGCTGGTATCTGATGTTTTGAGAGTACTTACTGGTGTAGAGTCCCAGTAGAGTCCAGGTTGACCTTTTAGAGGAGGAAGAGAATCCTCAGCTCTAGCCCTGCCCTCTAGTTCAGGACCACTTCCTAGAGGAGCCAGTGGTCCTCTCTCTGAGGAGCTCTTCCTCTGTTTCTGGGACCAGTATCTAGTGAACTGAACACCTGGTGCAGAGGTAGAGTACTACCTCTGAGGCAAAGAAACCTGCTGGTTTGAAAGGGCTTTGTAGGACCAGTGCCCTTTAACCCTGTGCTATTTTGTTTCTTGATTTATTTTCTTCTGCTTCAGTCTATCTAGTGGTGAGGTTGTATTTGGGGTCCCTTTGGAGGGACTCTACAGCAGTCAGTCTCAAACTGCTGCAGGCTTCAGAATAACCTGGGCACTAGTGACACGGTATGTGTTCCTACTGTCACTTCAGAGGCCCCCTGTGGTAGCTCTAGAGAGCGCCTAGGAAGAGACAGCTTAGACGAGCATCTGCCAGACCTGTGTACATTCTCTGCTTACACTGAAGGAGACATTACCCTCAGCACTAGTTCTTATCACCCAGGAGCTCCAGGTATCTGGATGACTCATTCCTCACATGCTGAGGTTCTTGGGTTCCTTGGAATACGCTTGTGTTCAGGCAGACAGGTTTTTGTTTGCTTTTCTTGTTTTTGAAGGCAGAGTCTCACCATGTAGACCTAGCTGGCCTAAAACTTGCAATGTAGACCAGGCTAGTCTTGAGCTCAACAGAAACCTGCCTGTTTCTGCCTTCTGGGTACTGGGATTAAAGGCATGCACCAACACCCTTGGCTAGGTAGTTTAAAAAGTGTCCAGGTGAGTTTAAAATGCAGCAAAGTCAAGACGGGGGCTCTAAAGATGAGAAAATTTGTGTCTAGATTTTCAAGAAAATATGGTAGCCCATTTTTGGTACCTTGAATAATTTGCAAATAGTTTTAAGTCATGAACATGTCACCATCTAGAGTGGGCAAAGGCTCACATGCAACGGTGGGTCCAGCTTCTGGTCTTGCTTTTCAACATGTGACATTAGCTTTCCAGGTTGGGTGGAGGTGATGGTGGGGTTGGAGAGCAGGAAGTGGGTGTGCAGGTGGATCAGCACTGCCCTCAAGTGGCAAAACTGAGTTGGTGGACTGAGCGCTGGACCTTTAGGTAATGTGGTGGATACTGGTGGCTGTAGCTTACTGAGGCCGAACCCTTGGCTAAGTGTTTCATTTAAGGGTTTTACTTGTATTCTTTCTACTTCTGATTAAACCACTTTCTTGGTAGATTTTCTTATTATTTGGCTGTTTTTTTTAAAACCTTAAACTTAGAGAGATTCCGCTTAAACACTACCCTGGTGTAAAACATTTATAAAAATCGACAGGGTGTTTCCTTCTTCCTAGATACTTACTTGACAAGAACTTAAAACCCATTGTAAGGCTGTGATTTTACAAACTACCAAGGGTTAAGGATGTAGCTCAGTGGTAGAACATCTGCCAAGCATGTACAAGGTCCTGGATGTGAGCCCTACCTTTGTAAACAAAACAAAACAGATGTGCACTCCAAGTCAAGGGAGGATTTTATTGACACCAGCTTCCAATGGTAGCCTAACTCATGCTCTGACTATTGTCTAGGTATCTTGCCAAACTCTGGGCCTCCCAAAAAACGGCACAAAGGGTGGTCCCCAGAGTCTAAATCAACCACAGATGGCGGCTTCATCCAGGGTAGTGGCAGCAGAGCTAAGCATGGTACGTGGTTATGGCCTTGCCCAATCCCAAAGTTGGGTGCCAGTGGTGGTGGGCTGCTAGCAGCATGTGTGCCTATGTGCAGATGCCTGAGGCGGTTCTGGGCAACTGGACCCTGGCATAGCAGAGGGACCTCTTCTCACATGTCTGTTGCTTCCTAAGGTCTAGACTCCCATTCTACTTCTGTATTAGCCCCTGATCTAGCAAGGTCTCCAAGCAGCTTCTCAGCGGATGATGCAGACAGTGTTTATTGGTGGGGAAGGTGGGGCTGAGCGAGCCCAATTATGAGTATGGAGATAGGTCAGGCAGCAGTTTTGTGGGGTAGATGGATGTTGGGTGGGCTGGGGACAGATGCCTCATTTGCTAGGTTTTACTCATATGCTTGTTGTGTTCCTAGAAGGTCCCAGCATGGCTTGTGTGCCCCAGGCTGGCTTGATGGGACCGGCTTCAGTCACCTTCCCGGTGGTGGCCTCTGGTGAACCAGTGTCTGTTCCGGACAACTTACTGAAAATATGCAAGGCCAAACCAGTGATATTTAAAGGCAAGTACAGCTATGCACCCAGCCATGGAGGTGGAGAAGCATGCAAGGAATCCCATGCAAAACCGTGACCTCATCTTGGGCCAACTCCAAAGGCATCCTGAGCCAGTCTGAACCCTACCCAGGGCAATGAGCAAATGAAGTGGACCCAGTCTCCAGAGTGCTGAGAACGATGGAACGTGTCAGGTTGTCCCAGCTGGAGCATAGAGACTCTACCCAGGACACTCGCTGGCTTGTTCTGTTTGCTGTCCTTTCCTTTATTCTCTCTGTTTCACTGAAGCCCTGCTGCCATTGTGCATAAAACTGTCAAGGACTCGGGAGATGGACAAAGCAACCCGTGGCTTGTCCCATTGTCACCCAGAGCCATTAGTCATTTTGGATTGTGCAGCTTTCAGCCATGGTCACTCCATGAGATAAGATAAGATTTGATTTCCCCTGTGTGGTGGCTAGTATATATCACATGGAAGTAGCATTATAGCTCAACTGAAGAAATCCTTTAGGGATGAGCTAGAGACTTTGAGGCAGGGAGCTGTGTGCAGATTCAGCAAGCAGTACCTGAGCTGCTGGGATGTACAGGACCATGGATCTGCTTCCTCCATTGTACATTTGGCATCTTGTCTCTAGGAAGAGAGGTGGAAATAGGACAGGAAAATGCCGGAAGCAGCAGCTGCTCATGTTACAGGGCACTGCCTTTCCTAAAATAAACCAGTACCCCCCGCCAACCCTAGGAACAAAAAAGACACAATATTCAGAAAGGAGGGTACAAATGTGACCTTCAGTGCCTTGGCTGAGCAGGATGTCTTATGAAGGGAGCCACACTGACCCGAGTCTCACGCTGAGCAAACTCAGGGCAGCTCCTCTGCTTTGCTCAAGTATGCCCCCTTCCCTGACCCCCACCTAGGCTTCCCAGCCAGCTGTTCTGTAACTCGGCTTTCATCTGGTTTCGCAGGGCAGCTTCCTGCAGCCCTTGCATGACCAGCAGCATGGCATGCATACTGTTTTCTAAGATGGCCTCTTGTAAGCTGGCACATTTCTGAATGGTGCTGTCCAGCCGGTCCCACACTCCAGCATCGGACGGGAGTAAACAGAAATTTGAATTCACAGGCCTGCCCCAGAGACAGAACGTACCTAAATTCTCAACTTAGAGATGTGTGTGGGGCCAGCGAGTGTCTTAGCAAATCTGTCTGTCACACTTCGAGTGTGAGAAACAGGTTTTCACGGTGTCCCATAGTGTCCCACGTGTTGTCTAGCCGTAGCTCTCCATAGTGAGATTCAGACAGGGGCATTCATTCTTATCATGACTGACCATCTAACATTTCCCTATCATGCAGAGGCTTCAGGAAGGTCAAGTTCTTGCCTAAGGTCATGCAGCCTATGATGACAAAGGGGTCAGACCCTGCTTGGGCAGTTCTATCCTGAGAGCTGTCATCAGAAGGATTCTATCATTCACTCCAGCATTACTCAAGGCTGTTCACTTTCTAGGTCTTTGGGTCCAGACACCGACCTGTTTTGCTAAAGATCCTCAGGAGGGTGTAAGGCTTGGCATTGGGACACAAGTCTGCTGAACAGTCCCCATTGCGAGACACACACACACACACACACACACAAACACACACACGTACACACACACCAGCTGTTTTGAGGTCATTGCCATTTGGTTCTGGGCAAGCTTCTTTAATTTGGGCTTGAACTTGCTCAACTGCAAATAAGGGGATTGGACAGTGTGAACTAGCAAATGCTCTGCCTCTGGCTGGATGTGACAGGTGACATTTCTGTCCCAGGTTCTAGGAGGGCAGTACTCAGCAAGGGCTGTAGGATTTCTCAGGGAAGGAGACCTCAGAGAGCTCCTGGCTCTTATGCTCAAGGGATCCACAGTGATTCCTCACCGAAGCCGAGCACAAGACCAGGTGCTGAGTGGATGCTTTCTTCTCCTCTAAGCCACGGGAACTTCCCCTACCTCTGCGGAAACCTGAATGATGTGGTCGTCAGTCCCCTACTGTACACCTGCTACCAGAACTCGCAGTCGCTTTCCAGAGCATATGAGCAACACGGTGCCTCTACCATGCAGCCCATATCTGAGGAGACGCAGCTGCTGCTGACCGACCGTCTACTACCTCGTCCAGCTGGGTGAGCCCGGGTCCAGCTGTTGGTTAGGGATGAATCTGACTGGGCGGACGAACTAGACTCAGGAGGCCAGAGAAGACTATGAAGACCAAGTTTGCCCTGCCCTTCCCAGGGAGGGGTCAGCAAACAGAAGGGTGTAGTCAACAGAGTGGTTCACAGACTGCTCACTCACCTGCCGTTCCATAGTTCCATACACAAAAGACACAGGCGATGGCGTCAAGCACTCTGCCCCCAGAGAGAGCCAGTTCGACCAGAGAAGAGAAATAAGAGGGAACTGGATGGGAGGTGGGCATGTGGAGGTCCATTTAGGGTCATTAAGAAAGGCCTTGACCACCAGAAGGAACAGCCTTCTGAAGAGCTGAGGAGAGAACACGGGTCAGGGTACATAGGTGAGTGGGAGCACAGGTTGGGAGCTGGCTGTGGGTAGGAGCACAGATGGGGCTGGCTAGGGGTATGAGGGAGCAGAGTAGGTGTGTGTGGGGTGTTCGTTGGGTGGATACAACGGGTGAGTGTGGGAATAAGTGAAAGATTGTTGGTTACTTCCAGTTGTATTGCTCAGCTGCCCTGAGGACTGAGAGTTCTTAAGTCCCATGGATGCTAAGGTATAAATTCAGGAAACACGGCCTTGCTATAGTCTACATAGAAGTGTCCAGGTCAGCTGTGACCCACTGTAAGCAATCACTGGTGGCCACTGAGGAGCTCAGGCTTGACCCTCAATGCCCAGGTAGTCAGAGTCTTAGTGTTGAGGAGGTTCAAGATGGAAGCACAGGGTGGTCAAGATGCTGGCAGGCTCAGCATCAGGTCTCTGAAGTTCCTTCCCAAGATTCAGGTATCTATCAACTGTCATAGCTTTATCCAGGATCCAGCCTCACCGTCACCACCGTCCCCATCACAAACCTCCATGTTTGTGAGAACCGTGGACCAGACCACACATTCTTCCTCCTTGGAGCTCACTGGTGCTTTTCCCAGGCCTGGTGGCTGCTGGCTTTCCACTCCCATCTTCCCACTCGGCCCCAGCTGCTGCTCCTGCACAGCGGTGGTCCTGCTGGAGCGTCGTGGACTTGCAACTTCCCCATGAAGTGCTCTGATACATCTAGCACATCTGTGTACCTTGCCCCTTCTTGTCATTTGAGTTTTGACCCACTACCTCTTCAGAGAGGCCTAGTTGCCACTACCTGAATAGCTCCCCACACCCAGGCCCCCTAACCTCTATCTAGTTTCCTTATTATTTAGAACAATGTCACCCCAGGAGTATGCCATGGGCTGTGTTTTCCTGAGCATTTCTCATGGCTTAGGATACACATGCTGCAGGACAAAGAATATTGGTCTGCTGCTTTATGTGTGGGTGCAGCCTCTGGAGGGACAGCTTGGTGCTCACCAAGTGTGTTGGAGGAAGGGATTAGGTTGACACAGAGGCCACTGAAGAAAAGTGTGCCAAGGCCAAGGGCTGGGCCTCTGTAAACATGGCTGGGAGCAGAATTCAGGGACAGTGGTGAATAACTTGTGTGTTAGCTGTATGGAAGGCTGGCCACCTTGATGAAGGACATAGGAGGAGGGCAGTGACAAGAGCCCTGTATGAGCAGGGCAGAGAGAATAGAGGCAAAGAAGCAAGAACTGGGAATATAGGCCACCTGTAAGCTCTGGCTGGAGCTGATGCTTTAGAGAGAGATGGGCTCAAGGGAGAGTTATTAGAGACAAGGGGCATGATAACTAATCTGCCTGTTCTAATTTAATTACCTACTTCAAATCATAATCAGAAGTATCTAATAAAAATAAAGACAGGAGGGCCAGTGAGATGGCTCAGGGAGTCAAGGTGCTTGTCACCAAACCTGAAGATGAGTTTGATCCTGGAACCCACGTGATGGAAGGAGAGAATGCTCAGTTTTGACCTCCACACTGTTCTCTGGCAATCACCAGGAACACATGGGAAAATAAGTGAAGCTATGTATAAGCCCATCGCATTAAACTCTGGCCCAGCCCTGAGCTGCTAACACAAGCTGCCGTTTTACAGGTTGGGAAGTTGTAATAGGCTTGACCAACCTTTGGATGTTTGCAAAAACTGCATTGTCACTGACAGACTGGAGAACTGTGCATTCAGAAGTTTTCAAATAACAAAAGTATCATGGTCTTTTACAAAAATGTTTATGATGTTTGTTTGCGTTGGGCTACATTCATAGCTGTCCTGTGGGCAGGGCTACCACAGTCTCATAGCTGGTGTAGGGATAGCTGGATGGAGGTCTGATGACCTCCCTTCCAGTTCCTCAAAGGCAATATTAGACTAGAATACCCAGATAATCACAAAGGAAAGCACCCATAGGGGCTTTTGAAAGATGTTTGACCTCACCAGTCATTGAAGAGAGACATATGCATAATGAATCATTCTTTTCCTCAGTACCCAAGAGATGGTACCCACAGATGCTGAGGATACTGGAGCAGAACTGCCACACCAAACGTGGC